TGGGAGACAGTGCACACTTTTTTTTTTTAATGTATTGGTTTTAGAGAAGAGGAGAGAGAGAGGAAAACATCCACTTACTGTTTTCCCACTTATTTATGCATTCATTGGTTGATTTTTGTATGTGCCCTGACTGGTTATCAAACCCTGCAACCTTAACGTATTGGGACAACGCTTTAACCAGCTGAATTACCCATCCACGGCTGTAAGTATAATTAATTTTGAGGAAATTAGGAGATATGTTAGTGCTTTTAAAACTAAAAAGCTTGATAAACTTAGATAAATTATTTTAAGCATTTAAAAGAATAGTAGGAAGGATGTGGGCATCCATTTCTATCATACTACTTACTTGATTAAGTAACATTTTCATTCAGCTGTGCATATGTTCCTAAAACTGCTCCCCAGATAGTTTTATGGTTTCTCTCTCATTCTCTAGACTGATTTACATATCAGTTTAGATTTAGGACATTGTCTTTTTCATTATTCCTCATGTTTTGGTTTCCGGAGATAGGAGAATGATATGATATATATGATCTCTTAAAAGAGTGTAAGAATTATCCTAGCAGAAATAAAAGTTTTGAAATGAAATTTTTGTTGAATATAGTTCTATTCTTTTCCTCCTACCTACCTAATATTTAGCCTTTTCCGAGTTATTTTTTTTAAAAATATATTTTACTGATTTTTCACAGAGAGGAAAGGAGAGAGATAGAGATAGAGAGTTAGAAACATCGATGAGAGAGAAACATCGATCAGCTGCCTCCTGCACATCCCCCACTGGGGAAGTGTGCACAACCCAGGTACATGCCCTTGACCGGAATCGAACCTGGGACCTTTCAGTCTGCAGGCCGACGCTCTACCCACTGAGCCAAACCGGTTTCGGCCCGAGCTATTTTTTTGTGTGTCTTCTATTATGATACCTTCAAGCTTTGTAGTTTTAATGAAACCTTTCCTCTAGGGAAGTGTTTCATTATTTATTCTTGGGTCTTGAACCTTAATTCTCCACATTCATCAAAGCATCTTAATTAAGAATGTTAATATATTATAACACATGAATAAATAATAACCCTCTTAACTATTATTTAACCAGATATTTCTCTGAGTTCATTGGTAGAATATGAGGCTTCATTTGGAATTCCACTATGAGAGAGGCTACATGTTACTTTCAACTGTTTTTCTATTTGTGGTTTTGAAAAGGGAGGGGAGTGGTGTTATTCACATTAAAAGGGAGATATGAAGTAGGTGAACAAATAGGAATATGCTGTGAGGCAGAACCTATAAGAAGATAGGTTCTGCATACTAGGGGGGAGTCCAGCTTTTCTTGCATTAGGCACCAATGTTTGGTCATTTTGGAAAGCTTCCACATGATAGGTACTCTTACTTTCTTACATTTCAGCCTAAGAAAAGATAGCATTTGGAGTTTGGAGCAGCTCCCCCAGTTCACCAGTATTTATTCAGTGCTTATTGTGGGTGTTTTGCTAAATTCACTTCCAGATAAAATGAAGAGTAAGACTATTTCTTCCTTTGGGAACTTTAAAGTTAATAAAGGGACAATAAGCTAGAAATTCAAGTAAGTGATAAAGGGTAAATTTAAAGTGTGGGGGAGTGCTATGGGAGTATTTGAATATTTTACAAGAGGTTTAGCAGGGATAATTGAACTTCTATGCTAAACAGAGTAAAGTTGTGAAGAAACTCGTGGATGTAGTTTATAATTTTAAATGTTTTATGATGTCTTAAACATAAAGTTTCTATCCAAGTTATTTTTGCTTTTCCAAGTTTTTAAAGAAAGGTAATCTAAAAGTGGGACTTTCCTTGTCATGAATGTTTGTATTAATGAAAAATGCTAAGAGCTTTAGGTTAAGTATGTAGACTTTTTAATGTGCTACATAGAGGATGGTGCAAAAGTAGGTTTACAGTTGTAAGTGCATGAAACAGTTTATTCTTGCTTTATTATTTATTTATTGTATTTTCCATACGAACAACTGTAAACCTACTTTTGCCCCACCCTGTATTTACTAATTTAACATTGGTGATTTTAGCCTAATGTTACATTAAACATGATAGGAAGTTTAATTGCCAGATCAAATTTTATTGCCTTTCTAAATTCTAGGTCTTAGTACCCACTGTGTCCATGGTTGGAAAGCATTTGGGAGCCAGAAAGGATCATCCAGGCTTAAAGGCAAAGGAAAATGATGAAAATTGTGGTCCTACTACTACTGTTTTTGTTGGCAACATTTCTGAGAAAGCCTCAGACATGCTTATAAGACAGCTCCTTGCTGTAAGTTAAACTGTTTATTTTTCATTTAAAAGGTTTATTTTTGTTATAAATTTTAAACAAAAAGCAGAGAGGACTCTGAATTTGTCTTTGTTTTATTTTGAAAATTTTAAATCCAGCAATACTGTTGAAGAAACAGTACAGTGATTACCCTTGTAACATATTGCTACATTTACTCTCTTTATATACACACATGCTACATACCCGTTTTGAGTAATTTGAGAGTAAGTTGTGATAAGACATTTCATCTCAGAATACTTCTTGTGTTTTCTGAGACCAAAGACATTTTCCTATATGATCACAAAATCATTATTGCACTTAAGAAATTTAAGGACGATACAGTATTGTTAACTAATATACATAGATCTTTTTCTTTTTTAAATAAATTTTATAAATTATTTATATTTATTTATTTGTTAATCCTCATCTGAGGATTTTTTTCAATTAATTTTTAGGGAGAGTGGAAGAGAGAGGGAAAGACAGAGAAACACCGATGTGAGAAAAACACATCGAACCATTGGTTGCCTCCTGCAACCAAGGTGTGTGCCTTTAACTGGAATCGAACCCGGGACCCTAGCCAAACTGACTAGGACTAGATCTTTTTCTTTTTTCTTTTGGACCAGCTTAAAACAGTTTTTTTAAATTTTGTTTTATTGCTTAAAATATTACAAAGAGTGGTACATATGTCTCCTTTTTTTTCCTCCTTGACCTTCCCCTGACCTCCCCTACCCCCCAGTGTCTTATGTTCATTGGCTATGCTTATATGCATGCTCTATTTTTAAAATTTAATTTTGTCTATAATTTCCAAAATAGCATGTTTTTGTTTTTGGCCTATGATCCAGTCAAGGATTGTACATCACATTTAATTGTCACACCTTGTTAGGCAGCTTCTTTAAAACATTTTATTTATAAGTTATAGTTCTCTTCTCCCCACCTTTTTTTTTCTTTTTTTGGTTTGCTTGTTTTCTTTGTCTTATGACATTGACTATATATATAGATTTCAGAGAGGGAGGGAGAGATAGAAACATCAGTAATGAGAGAGAATTATTGATTGGCTGCTTCTTGCAGGCCCCCTGCTGGAGATTGAGCCCGTAACCCAGGCACAAGCTTTTTTTTT